TAGTAAACGGTAGATGTTTAGCTTTTCCTAGTTGACATGACGTGCAGAAACCAAGTTTATTTCCATAATTTTTAACAGGAAGATAACACAACAAATGAGATAAGGTTGACTTCGACGGATAACCTAGCCTATTATGCCATTGGTCCACCGAGGTCTTTATTCCTAATTTAGCAGTCATACAACGTAGTCTAGACGACGTGCTCTTATTGCCAGCAATTGCATAGAGGCCATTCTGAACCAGCCCTTGAAGCAGAAGTCTCCTGTCTTGTTCTCCTTTACACAGAAATCAACACCAGTCAGTACAAAGTAGCAATCATTGTCAAGACAAAAACGATTTATGGATAGTTGGTTGGTAGATGCATTTGGACAATGAAGAACATTTGTAAGTTTATAAGAATTGTTTGCTATATTTATAGAGGTAGAACCAGTGTGTTTAATCATTAAACCTGAGCCATTGCCCACTGTGACAGTGTCTTGACCTTCGTAAGGCTCTTAGTTCACTAAAGTAGTTGCATTGGCCATGATATGAGCATTAGCCCCACTGTCAGCATACCAAACCTATGGTCGTAGGTGTTATTAGCCTCTGCTGCCATCGTTGCAAGATCAGCAGGTGGGAGACACCCTTGAAAGGCAAAATTAAAGCGCTCGTAGCAATCCAAGGAAGTGTGTCCTACTTTTTCACAAATTTGGCAAATTGGCCTGGAATTAATCTGCATAGGTCGATGGTTGGTAGGGACAGTTCCAGATTGTTGATTTGGCTGCTGTACCTTGGTGCCATGGAATTGTGGCTTTGGCTTCTTCATGAGTTGTGACTGTTTTGCTTTAGTGGCAGCAAAGGCATAATGATTGTCCGGTGTATGTGAAATCTGAGTTTCCAGAAACTTTCAAAGCTGAGTAGTTCAGCTTGAAATTCATCTAAAGTAGAATCTTTGTCCCTTGAGGTAAAGTTGAGGGAAGTGATGAAAGAGGTGAAGTTGCTTTTCAAACCACCAATCAGAAAGCCAATTAGTTCCTGATCATCAATGGGTTTTCCAGCAGTAGCAAGTTGATCAAAGATGGATTTTGCCCCTTCAATATAATCTATGCATGATTGATTACCTTGAGTAATGGTCTGCAATTGGCATTTGAGAAGAGCAATCCGTGAACGTGATGTGGAGGAAAATATGGTACGAAGTGCATTCCAAACCAATTTAGAAGTCTTCAAACCATACACTGAGGATACTAACTTTTCAGTTATAGAAGCTAGTAACCAGTTAAGAACACAGTTGTCTTGTTTGAACTAAACTGCATAAGCTGGATTTGCTGTTCCATCAGACAAAGTCTTTGCTAGAGCAGGCGTGTCACCTTCCATGATGTCCACAAGATCATGGCTGCGAAGGAACACAAGAAATTGAATGCTCTATGGAAGATAATTGGGGCTGTTCAACTTTTGAGTAACTGGTTGGAAATTACGTTGGATAGTGACTATGGAAGAGTCGTTATTGATCGATGTGTTGGCTGCAGAATCTAAGGAAGCCATGAGTGTTTGTTGGTAGCTTAGAAAGCTGCGGAAGCTTGGTAAAAGGAAAGGTCCAGAATTTTAGGTGTGCGCCTTTGTTTGCTCTGATACCATGTAAAACTTTAATGAAGACGCACACAGACTTTGAATTGTTTGGCTTTTTTTTAATACCAAACGTATGCATTGAATAAGTTTATATAGACATTTACACCAACTGAACTGAGTTACCTTAGGAGACTGACTAGCATATATTGTTACAGTATTCCACTCTAATTCAAAAGAAAGTTGAGATAATTCTGCACTAGAATCTTATCCTAATCTGAACCTCTTTTCTCGACAGTACAGGTAGGAGCTGATGTGCATAATTCTGCTGTAGAATCTGGTCCTCTTTTCTCGACTGATTTACCAACTTTGGTCATATGTGGTGATACTCTAACGTGGAGAATCAAATAATGAATGGATGTTAGGGCAGAATAACTTCACCAATTGATCACATTTACATCTCAAATTAAAACTCAATTCTAATGTAGTGCTCGGTCGAATTTTTCTATTGTATTCAATTTACCCCTCTCGACTTCTCATTGAGTCTATTCAACTAATTAAATTTCATATCTCTATGCAAATTCAATTTAGTTAAATGAGTTCTATGTCCTAGGAATTCAATTATGACCACAATAAATGGTATAGGTATCTCTACTCGTTATATCAATGTACTGAATTTTACTACATGGTCTAAATCCTAAACTCATATCTCTATTTGTAAAGAATTCACAAAAATCATCAAATTATTGATCAGATAATTTAATGCATTCAATTCATAGCAAAATCAACACATGAAAAAATTAAAAAGCTAAGAATCTTAATAAAAGAATGTTAAGAATCCCAATTGGTTACATTATTCCCCCTAACAATGAATTTAGGTACTCATAATGCAAGAAGAAAAATAGGAAATTGTCTTAGAATATATCGTCGGATTTGTAATAAAAATATAAAAGAAAAAGTAGAATTATTGCACCAAGATCTCCTTCCCCTTCCAATGAATGCTTCTAATATTCAATTGCTTGGTGTTAATCTTCTTGAATTTCTCTATTGAATCTCCTTTTTTGTTGCCTTGTCTCCAATGTGTTCAGAATCCTCAAAAGTATGAGAAAGATTGTATTTATAGGTGCCCCTCCGTTTTGTGTAGAAGTAAGATTTTTATGGATTTTAAAACGGCCCTAAAAAATGCGTCCTAGACACTCAGTCGCAGCGCCTAGGCTCCGCGTCAGTTTAATCACAGCGCCTAGGTGCTGTCTTTCTGCTCCAATTCCATATTTTTGGCCTCTTTGTTTACTTTAATACCTCTTTTCGCATCGCCTTTCCTAATCTTCAAAACAACACTAACAAACACATCAAAAATGTTCTATACTCACAAGATCTAGCATTTAATCAAGCTAAATTTGTGCAAAATTCATGAGTGAAACAAATTCATCAAATACCCCCAAACTCAATCGTTTGCTAGTCCTCGAGAAAACAAACAAACCAAACAATAAAATCATCCAAAGACGATACACACAAATATTCAGTTAGACGGCTTGTCGTTTTAGCTCAGCATTGATAACGTTATATTACATTTATGAATGGTATCAAAATCACAATGCAGGAACCAAACTTTCACTCATACAATGCGAAGCGGGTGTATGTGTGTGGAGGATCAAGCGTGGCGCCGCACATTCACAAGTTGGTTCATTTCCCAACCCTTAATGGTTAATTATTTCCTTTTTTCGCCCCTAAGATTCACACACCCCCAAACTTGGTTCTTTTATTCTCTTACTATGGTGTAATTCTAAAGTTCAGTTTTGCTTCAGATTTCCTCACACCACTCTGATTTAGTTTAGTTCAACCGACAACGTCAACAATTCATTCATGTAGTGATTCTCCCAATTTCTGAGTGTTTCAACAATCTAGTTTATATTTAGTGATTCAAACCCACTAGTTATTTAAGCCCCCAAGATTATTTTTTTATTCATTCATTTATTTATTTACCTAACCTTTTTTCACTTCTTGACCCTTGTAGTGAGTGTTAGGTCGGTAATTTCTCGATTTTTTGTATACCAAAGGGTACCAGGTTTTAAGAGACCCCTACGAACTTAATAACTCGAGTAAAAAGGGTGTAGGTCTAAAACTTAGCTGAATACATGCAATGCTTATTTTCTTATAAAAAGAAGTGAAATTTATAGGGGTTAGATTTTTGGCATTTGGTCATCACCAAGCTTATATAGAAAGTTAAAGACAATCCACCCAATCTTATTCATATGTACGGAATCACAATAGTCTTAAACTATTTCTTTTACTGGTTAGAATGCCCCAAATTATAATGTATATGGTTAAGGGGTATTGACATTCATAGGTTAAGGGATTATACACCTTAGTCATCTCTTTAGCCTATGTGTATGAACCCTCATGTTCTTGTATGATGCTAAACTTAATACTCGTACATAAATATTATACCAATTCATATAGATAAGCAGAAAATTATGATTCATCCACAATCCATAAACTAATACATGCTCTCAAATATATTCATCATAGTTGACAAGACTATCTAACTCACACAAGCATGCAGAGTATGAATTTTTATTTTTATTTTTGAATAAAAACACAAACACATAAAATAAGCAAGTCATACACAAGGATTTGAGAAACTCAACAATGTAAGCAAAAGATGTCACTCTCCCAAACTTAACTGAAACATTGTCCTCAATGTGAAATTTAAAGGAAAAGGAGGAGGACTTCCCAGAAATGTCAGTATTGCCTATGATGTTGTGGTGTCTTGGTGTTGCATTTGATCGACTCTTCTTCTACATTCTCCCCCAAACTTGAGATTTGTACCATTTTCTCCATGTCCCTATTGGTTTGAGTGTTACGCGACGTTATATTCCTGAAAAATTAAATTTGAAAAATTAAACTCATGGAACAAGGATTACTTAGCTCAAACATCTAATAACCAACTTAATTACTCCAAGACCTATGGGTAGAAGGCGTATGGGTGATGATTCCTAAATAAACTATAGATTAAACTATCCTAGAACTTTGAAAATAAAATAAATAAAATAAAATAAAAGTTTGGGTTGCCTCCCAAGAAGCGCTTTTTTTAAGTCATTAGCTTGACTTGTGCCGCTGATTTATCATGGTGGCTCAAACCAAGTTATTCTATCATTGCACTTTGTGCAATTTTTATTGATGCAATCCTTTTTTGTTCTCCAGATTTTGATTTGTCCATTCTTATCTCCACCAAGAAGTTCTCCAAAATTTGGTTTTTTGTTCTGACAGCTTGGTTGATCAAGTGGCTCTTCTTCATCAATTCTACAGCAATCATTTTTATTGAGAGATTTCTCATATTGGATGTAAATACTGAATATCTCGTGCTTGTCCTCCATCCTCAAGATTAGTTCTCCCTTCTCCATGTCAAAAGGGTTTGTCCCGTTGCTAAGAATGGCCGGCCCAATATAATTGGAATGTCTCAATCTTCTGGTATGTCCAATACAATGAAATCCACAGGAAATATTAAATTTCCTATTTTTACGAGTACATCCTCAACTTTGCCATGTGGCCTTGCGATTGTTCTATCAGCTAGTTGTAGCGTTATTGATATTGAGTTGATTTCACCTAGTCCCAATTTCTTGTAAGCAGAATACGACATTAGATTGATACTAGCACCAGTGTCACACAATGCATTAATTGAATAGAAATTTCCAATTGAAATTGGTAAAGTAAAACTCCCTGGATCCTTCAATTTAGGAGGCAATGTTCTCTGGACTCTTGCACTACTTTCCTCAGTTAATGCCACAGTTTCAAATTTCGAAAGCTTTCTTTTCTTTGTCAGCATCTCTTTCAAAAATTTCATATAGCTTGGAATTTGTAGTATCACATCAATGAACGGAACATTGATCTGGAGCTTCTTGAGAACATCGAGGAATTTTTCATAGTTTGTGTCTTGTTTATTCTTCTTGAGCTTTTGAGAAAAGGGAATGGGAGGCATGTAAACTTTGTCTAGATTTGGTGCTTTGGCAGTTGACGTTTCTGTACTTTCTCCATTTTCAATTGTGTTTGGAACAAATTTTTCTACCCTTGTAGCTTCATCAATTACTTCTTGGTCCTCTTTTCTTTTGGGTCTCTCTGTAGTGATATTTGGCAATTGTACCTCGCTCTTTGTATTTATGACATGAATATTTTGCTCCATCGACTTCTTTTGAAGTCTTTGGGGAAATGAAAGTGGAGGTACATATGCTTTAATTTTTACGGGGGCCCTGGGTGGATTGTTTTCCACTATTTTAATTGCCATTAATCGTTCCTTAAGATTTATCATTGTATTGCCTAGCAATGTCCCTTGTGGACGTTCTGTAAGTTGTTGTGTTATCTGACCAATTTGTGTCTCCAGTTTCTTGATGGATGCTTGCTGATTTTGAAAGTTCGTGTCAATTTGCTGGAACACCTTGTCCATCTTCTGCACATATAGTTGAAACATCTCCCCCAAACTTGGTGTTCACGAAGTTATTTCTTTTGATTTTAAACTACCGCAAGTGTACGATTCGTTAACAAGTAATAAAGTGGATTCAATGAGTCCGTATATTGTCCCACAGAGATTGATTAGTTCAAATTTTATCTAACGTAGCCTTAACCGAAACTGGATTGCCAAAGTGAATGTGAACCTAAGTAAACCCCTAATTTTAAAAAGAAACCCTAATTGAGCAAATTTAATGAGTGAATTGAAATTAAGACTCAAAACAATATTTTAACACTCTAGAATAAAACTAAATGTTGAGAACGCATGTTGTTATAATCAATAGAAATTAAACACACTAGGATCACGATTTTCCATGCAATTATCACTTTAAACCCTTATTTCACAGTATGACAACACACTTCAATTGTGATGAATCAATGTTCCTAAGTCTATCCAATACTCTTTCTCGAGATGTATCAAGCCTATTTCTACATACCACCGACCTATATTTCTATGACAAGAGCATATGTAAAAATGCATGCGGTTTTATGAACATTTAAAGATTCACGTAGGGCATAGCGGTATATTTCTATCCCCTATCGGACCCTACGATGATTTATATTATGTCAAATCTATTCAAATTCTCTCGAATGCAAGAATAAATCATCAAAATTCACACAATTACGAGCTCTTAATTGCGGAAACATTAATTGCATATAAATCATTCAAAATAATAAAAATGTATCTTAATGTCAAATTGCAAAACTAGGATATTAAAATTCAAATTTCATGGTTCATCGATCTCCTAACGCATGAAAATCTAGCCCAGCATGGTTAAAATAACAAAATACATCAAATTTTGAGTAATAAGCATCATCGGATTATAAAAGTTTGAAGAAATATTGAAATAATAATAGCCAATCTTCGTTTTTGCGCCCCAAATCCTCTTCAAGAAGTCTGTTTCTGCCTCCCAATGCGTTCTCCTCATTTCTGGACCTTTTTTGATATTTATATCGCATGAATATTAGGTTACCAAAGGAGTTTTAATCGTAAAAGGAAATAGAATTTTCGCATCGGGAAGACTACCATGCGACCGCATGGTTTTAATCCGTGCGGCCGCAAGAGAGTTCTACCATGCGGCCACATTGTAGACTCCTATTTCTATTCTCTTCAATTTAGTCTCTTTACTTGAATCTTTCACTTCTAGTCCTCTTTTCTTCATTCTTTCCATTCCATCATCCCAAGAAATCATCAATTGGCATTTGGTTCAATCAATTCCTTGATTTGTTCATGGGGTCAACTTTTGGGTAATTGCACCTTGGTCCTTGAAATTTCACTTTGTGTCATTATAGTCATTTTTCGCGTCTTTTCTTATGAATTTCACCATGTTCAACGATGTTCCCTACAATTCACAAATGTAACGAAATTAAGTCATAATTCAATCATTTTGCTCATAACTAAGTCATGTTTGTGACCTAAATAAGTGTGTAAAAACACACTTATCACTTGGTCTTCTTTTTTGCTGGAAATTGTTGCCATATGAGTTGAAATTACAGGGGTCATTTTGAATAAAGTTTACTTGTTCCTCTGAAGAAGTGAGCATCATGTTGCACCTTGGTCCTTGAAATTTCACTTTGTGTCATTATAGTCATTTTTCGCGTCTTTTCTTATGAATTTCACCATGTTCAACGGTGTTCCCTACAATTCACAAATGTAACGAAATTAAGTCATAATTCAATCATTTTGCTCATAATTAAGTCATGTTTGTGACCTAAATAAGTGTGTAAAAACACACTTATCACTTGGTCTTCTTTTTTGCTGGAAATTGTTGCCATATGAGTTGAAATTACAGGGGCCATTTTGAATAAAGTTTACTTGTTCCTCTAAAGAAGTGAGCATCATGCAGCTCTCTGTAGCGTGATTTCTCCCACAATTCTCACATGCTGAGTTAGCCATCATTGCATTTGCTCCATGTGTTTGCAATTTTACAAGTAACTCTATCTGTTTTGTTAAAGCCGTTATCTGTGCATTGGTAGATGTTGTGCTGTCTAATTCATACATTCCTGCTGCCTTTGGCGGTATCACTCTTTCTGATGAGAACATTGAATGTGTGGTGGCAATTAACTCAAATAGATCCATGGTTTGTTGCACTGATTTCCCTATGATTGATTTCCCAGCAGAGGCATCAACTTGAGATTTTGACAGTGGTGTAAGTCCGGTATAGAAGTATTGCACTTGGTTTCCTTGAGTGATTCCATGGTTTGGACATTTTCTCATTAGCTTATTAAATCTATTCCATGCCTCGTGATAGCTTTCTCCCTCTTTCTGTTGAAAAGTTTGAATTTCCAATCTGATTTTAGCTACTCTGACTGGTGGGAAGAATTTGTTGCAAAATTTACTGGTCAGTTCTTCTCATGTAGTAATGCTGGCATGAGGCTCCGCATCTAACCACTCCAATGCAGCATCTCTCAATGTAAATAGTCGTAATTTAATAGCATTTTCATTGACCCCTGGAGCATGAATGTTTTGACAGTTTTTGAGAAATCTAGAGATATGCGTGTTTGGATTCTCATGAGGTAGTTCGTAGAATTAAAGAATTTGTTGCAAAATTTACTGGTCAGTTCTTCTCATGTAGTAATGCTGGCATGAGGCTCCGCATCTAACCACTCCAATGCATCATCTCTCAATGTAAATAGTCGTAATTTAATAGCATTTTCATTGACCCCTGGAGCATGAATGTTTTGACAGTTTTTGAGAAATCTAGAGATATGCGTGTTTGGATTCTCATGAGGTAGTTCGTAGAATTGCAGGGTATTGCTCATCAAGTTAATCCAATCTGGCTTGATCTGAAAGTTATTCACCCTAAAATCTGGATACACGATACTGGAGCGCATAGATGCTGCTATAGGTGCCAAGAACATTGATACTGACAAATCACCTTCATTTATTTCCCCTCGCTGATGCTGCTGTTCCAGTGGTGCCACCACTATTGCGGCCATTTGTTCCAATCAGCTGAATAGGTATAGAGATTTGTTGATTGTCAGCCATTTGATGTTGCTTTTTTTGTTTGCGTTCTTTGCGTCTTCGTCTGAAGGTACATTTTATCTTCTAATCAAACGGTTCGAGATGTTCGCCTTTGTCACGGAGCATACAACGAATACAATTTTCTATAAATAAAAAAAATAAACAAATCAAATAACAATTAAAATAAAAAAAATTAAGACTAAAAGAAATAGTCCCCGGCAACGACGCCAAAAACTTGTTGTAAATTTTTAGTTTCGCAAGTGTACAACCCGTTACAAGTAATAGTGGACCTAAGAGTCCGAATTGTCGATCCCACAAGGACTATTTTCTAGCACTTAATTCAATTTTTCTTTAACTACTATTTGACTAAAACAAATTAAAAGTTGTAAAATCTGAGTTTTAATCTAAATTCTAGAAAATAAATGGATGTTCACACGATTAGTTGGAGAATCAAATAATGAATGGATGTTAGGGTAGAATAACTTCACCAATTGATCATCTTTACATCTCAAATTAAAACTCAATTATAATGTAGTGGTCAGTCGAATTCTCCTATTGTATTCAATTTACCCCTCTTGAGTTCTCATTGAGCCTATTCAACTAATTAAATTTCATATCTCTATATAAATTCAACTTAGTTAAACGAGTTCTATGTCCTAGGAATTCAATTATGACCGCAATAAATAATATATGTATCTCTACACGTTATACCAATGTACTGAATTTTACTACATGGTCTAAATCCTAAACTCACATCTCTATTTGTAAAGAATTCACAAAAATCATCAAATTATTGATCAGATAATTTAATGTATTCAACTAATAGCAAAATCAACGCGTGAAAAAACTAAAAAACTAAGAATCTTAATAAGAGAATGTTAAGGATCCGAATTGGTTACATTATTCCCCCTAACAATGAATTTAGCTACTCATAATGCAAGAAGAAAAATAGGAAATTGTCTTAGAATACATCACCGAATTTGTAATAAAGATGTAGAAGAAAAAGTAGAATTATTGCACCAAGATCTCTTTTCCCTTCCAATGAATGCTTCTAATCTTCAATTGCTTGGTGTTAATCTTCTTGAATTTCTCTTTTGAATCTCCCTTTTTGTTGTCTTGTCTCCAATGTGTCCAGAACCCTCAAAAGTATGAGAAAGATTGTATTTATAGGCGCCCCTCCATTTTGTGTAGAAGTAGGGTTTTTATGAATTTTAAAACGGCCCAAAAAACGCGCCCTAGACACTCAGTCGCAGCGCCTAAGCGCCACGTCAGTTTAATCACAGCGCCTAGGCGCTGTCCTTCTACCTCAATTCCATGTTTTTGGCCTCTTTGTCTACTTTAATAACTCTTTTCGCATTGCCTCTCCTAATCTTTAAAACAACACTAACAAAAACATCAAAAATATTCTATACTCACAAGATCTAGCATTTAATCAAGCTAAACTTGTGCAAAATTCATAAGTGAAACAAATTCATCAATTAGCTTTACAAGTAAATGTTTGACATAATGAGTTATCTATTTTTTTTATTAATTTGTACATATAATAATCGTAATTGTTGCAAATATGGGTCTACGAGATTATCCCCATCCTGGCTGGTCGGTATGCGAGGAGAGGGGATACATGCATCTCTCGGATGCACCATTGGCAAGCACAAGACAAGCCCCTTGCTAAACAGTTATCAGTTATTGTAGACGATCTTGAGATACGTATTATACATATATGTTTTCTATTGTATATCATTTTTGAAATCTCAATACATGGTCAGTAATTCGATGAAATGCCAATATGTCAGTTTGAAGTCCTCACTGAGCTGACACCAATGATCGAGGAGGAGGGTCAGACTTATATCCGTGATTTATTGACAGATCGTGTTGCCGGAGAGAGGTTAAGTTTATCATGGATCGGGATACAGTATGTTAATTGAATATAATCTGTTGATTATCCTTATAATTTTTTAATTAAGTTATTCATTTATAATCTGGTGATCTGTCGATTATCACCTCCGTCGAGGGTGTCACATATCCTGAGGATATGGCCTCTATCGAGGGTGTCACCTCCCTATATGAGATCACCGTCTCTTGATTCCAAACACCTCCTACGTGGATCTGCTGCATGTAGTCAGAGTGCTTCCTTTGATGATATGTTCCGACTTATGATGGGGATCAGAGGCAAAGTAGCTGATTTACAACGTGATGTCGGGATGGTACAAGTCGGTTTAGAAGACCTTCATGCTAAGGTCGTAGTGATACGGGGTGACATGGCAGGCCTACGTGGACTGGGGAGTATCAAGGTGGGACTGCGAGTATCGGAATGGAGGGGTGACGAAGGGACAGACAGCTGTCGGGGCGGGGGGTGACGGAGGGACAGACGGCTATCGGGATGGAGGGGCTGGTGGTTATCAGGGCCGAGAGGGTCAGATGGGGTATGTTGACTCGTCGTGAGTATCGGATAATGTATTAGCTTCATTTCTCGGTGCCCTAATGGAGATGGAGAAGGAGATGAAGGATCCGACCTCGATGGAGACGGAGGCAAAGGGAGTACCTGAGGAGAAGAGGGTATCGGAGGAGGAGGTTGTGAGGATGCCCGAGGAGGAGGGGATACCCGAGGTGAAAAGGGTACTGGAGGAGGAGATTGTGAGGGTGTCAGAAGAGGAGGGGGTACCCGAGGCAGAAGACAAGAGGGTGCCGGAGGAGGAGGGGGTACCCGAGGCGGAGGGGGTACCATCTCGGAAGCCAGACTCATCAGACGTATTTTTTGTGTCGGAGGAGACTAAGGAGATGGTCCCGATGGTAGGTGATGGGGGTACCCGAGATCAGGAGGGTGCCGCATGTTGTTGACGTGCCAAAGTTGGTGGTCGACAAGAGGCTGAGGGTGCCATCACAGTACATTGTTTCTTTGTTTACTGCGAAGGCGAAAAGGAGGAGATTCATCGACGACAGGCACCCCAATTTATTTAGGGAGATGAACCACGCCAAGTGGAAAGCATTCGAGAGGGAGTGGAGAGCAATTAAACATGGATAAGTATTGTATTATTCGTTAAGGATTAGTACATTACGCAGACGCTAACACATCTATACTGCTTTTAATAATTTCTTTTCTTATTTTTTCAGAGCCAGCCGCAGGATTGCTCATAAGACGATCTCCGACGCTTACAAGTGGTTTCACGACATCACCACTTCGAGGGTTTGGCTCGCTGACGATGTAAGTGAATTAGTAATATTGTTATTTATTACGTATATATATATTTTTGAATTTTGCATTTATGAAATTAAATAACTCCTTTTTTAATTGGTGTTTTTTGATGCAGTACATTGACTTCGCCATGTATTTGCTACGACATTAAGCTGAAAGACAACCAAGATCGTTCAATATGAGTTAGCCAACATTCCTGGCCGACTCATATTGAACACCGAGTTCATACGTGTCGTTGACATTGAGTACCAGACGCTCCAAGCTATAGGTAGCGAATACACATGCCTACATATATGATAGAGTGGGCCGTAGGGATGTGGCCGAGTGTCAGGG